GCATTGCTAAAACCACCGGCAACTGCAAAAGAGCTACGGCAGTACTTGGGAGTGGCGTCGTGGTACAGACGTTTTGTGCCAGATTTTGCCACGCTAGTGCATCCGCTGAACGCCCTTCTGCGAAAGGGTGTCAAATGGGAATGGACCGACGACCACCAGCAGGCCTTTGAAGCTGTCAAGGCAAGATTGGTCGCCGACCCAATTTTGGCATGCCCGGATTTTACAGCGATTATGGGCTGGGCGCCATTCTCACTCAAAATTCCGACCAGGGTGAGCGGGTATCTCCTATTCCAGCCGGACCCTAAACGGGTCGGAAAAAAGTTACTCCGCCACTGAAAAGGAATGTTTAGCAATCGTGTGGGCCATAAGGAAATTAAAGCCATACCTGGAGGGATACCACTTCAAAGTGATAACAGATCACATGGCCTTGGAGTGGTTGAATAGCATCGAGAGCCCAACCGGAAGAATTGCGCGGTGGGCACTGGAGCTCCAGCAATACGACTTCGAAATCACATACAGGAAAGGCCAGCTGAATATTGTGGCGGACGCACTGTCGCGGCAGCCCTTACCTGAAACCTGCGGAAGGTTGAAAACGAAGTCACCTGGTCAGTCAGCAAAACAAGCCGAATGTAGCTGGATAAGGGACATAAGGGGCAAGATAGCACAGAACCCCCAAAAATATCCGGACTATTTAGTGGAGGCCAACCGGCTGTACCGGCACATTCCTCACAGAGCAGGCAATGAGGATGTGGTCGCATTGAAGCTTTGCGTACCAATTGGGTCAAGGCAGCGAGTCATGGTTGAAAACCACGATATGCCGACGGCCGGACACATGGGCAGCCGGAAGACGATCGCGAGGGTGGCAGCGAGGTATTATTGGCCCGGCATGCACCGCGACATTAGGAAGTATGTGCGGAACTGTGAGAGGTACCTCAGGTACAAGCCCAGCCAGCAGCAGGCAGCCGGGAAAATGCTCACACAGATCCCAGAGGAGCCCTGGGCAACAGTATGCGCCGATTTCGTTGGGCCGCTTCCTTGGTCAAAACACGTGAACTCGATGCTACTAGTGCTCGTAGATCGGTTCTCGAAGTGGACGGAAATAGTGCCAATGCGTAGGGCTACCACAGAGACACTGGAAAAGGCAATCCGGGAAAGGATTGTCTCAAGGTAAGGCGTGCCGATGGTCTTGATCACCAATAACGGGGTGCAATTCACGAGCAGGGCGTTCAAGCGGTTCTTGACAGAGTTGGGAGTGCGGCACCAGTTCACAGTCCCGTACACACCACAAGAAAATCCCACAAAGTGGGCCAATAGATTTGTAAAAACAATGATCTCCCAGTTTCCCGAACAAGACCAGAGAACGTGGGATGAGAAATGGCCAGAATTGCAGCTGGCCGTGAACACTAGTGTAGCCGAGTCCGCAGGATATTCACTGGCATTCGTCACGCAGGGTAAAGAGCCCAGGTTACCGAGCGCGTTGTTTGATGAAGAAACCACCGGCACAGGAAGGGAAACCCAGACCCCGTCGGAAAATGCGAAAAAAAATAAACGAAATCTCCGAGCTGGTCAGACGGAACGGAGAAGGCGGCGCAGGATCAGGCGCGCCACTACAATCTCCGGAGGCGCCCTTGGAAACCACAGATCGGAGACACATTATGGGCCAAGGAGCACCACCTATCCAAGGCGGCAGAAGAATTCACGGCGAAACTGGCCCCCAGATACGAAAGACCGTTTAAAATAATTAATTTCGACTCTCTGGTTATTTGCAACCTGCGGCACGAACACACGGGCAAAGAATGAAAAACACACATAAGCCAGTTAAAACCGCAAAGCAAAGAGGGGCAGTATCAACAAATCCGGCGTATCGGAGGAGCATTGTACCCTAACCGAAGAAAGGGGGAGGACGATACACGGTATCGAAATTAACGGTCAAGCACATACACAGGCACCTGCAGCGCCTTCGATTAGTCTTGCAGCTCCGAGCTTCTGTAAGCGCATCTGCTGATTTAAAAAAAAATAAAAGAAATAAAAAACCCCTCCCGCCAAGGCGAATTAGTTAGAAAATACGTCGGCAGGCAACTAGAGGAAAAGGCAAGGACCGCATTGCCTCCCAACCCCACCGCGCAGCGGCCTTTGGCAAAAAGGGGCTCTGGGGACCGATCAGGGGCGGTGAAACCCCCATCGGGCGCCGGAAGGAAATTTCTCGGCCACCGGGGGAGCTATACCGATTCGTATTACCAATTAAGGAGTCAAAGGCAGGGTTAGCGGGAAGAGGCGCAACAACGAGGCCTTCCGATGGACGCCACGGCGGAAATCGGCTGCCTCCAGGCGTTCTGGAGCGACCCAAGGTTGGTCGAACGCCCCCACCATCAGCGCCGCCGGTTTTGGCGGGGGACATGTTCCCATTTGAGCGGACTGGCGAAAGCGAGACGCCAAAAAGGGGCAGGGATGCAATGAGCCCTTGAAGTCCCGAGAAGCAGACAAAAAAATCAAAGTGCCAGAAACCCCCCCTCGAGCTAGTGCTCGATTTGGGAAATATGATAGGCGGACTGATTTCAACGTGCATTGAAAAGAAGCCGGCAGTTCGCCACATAAATCAAAACATGAAGGATACCCTAATGAGCATCAAGGAGATCCAGCTAGAGCTTAGCGAAAGATTGGAGGAGGTAGAGGCTGCAAAAGGGCGCGCGGCCACGCAAACAACGCCGGGTTTGGCGTCATACAGCCAAGTGGCTAGGAAGGCAAACCTATCAGGGCCAGAGGCAACTAAGCCATCCGTGCTGGAAAATAGGGTGCAACCGAGAATGTCCGGGCAGACGGCCCAGCGCAATGCGGATAAGCCTATCAGGAGAGTCCGCCCTGACGCCCTTGTTATAGCTGGGGCAGAAGGCCACTCATACAGCGAAATCCTAAATATGGTAACGAGGAGAGACGACAACGAGCTGGAGGGAGTCCGCAAGAATGTGCGCAGAATATAACGCACGGCCAAGGGAGAACTGCTTCTGGAACTGGATGGGTCCGCAAGGAGCGACACGCAAGCCATTAAGGAAGATATTGGCCGATTCTTCGGCGACCATGCTCGCGTACGAGCAATTGTGGAGGAAATCCACTTGGAAATACGCGACCTAGACGACCTGTCCACCAAAGAGGAGGTAGCAGCAGCCGTATCTGCGGCAACAGACCACCAAGTGGATGCTTCACGGGTCAAAGCGCTTCGCTCAGCCTATGCGGGCACAAAAGTCGCCGTTCTCGGACTGGTGCCACAAATAGCAGCCAAACTTCTCGCAGTGGGGAAAGTAAAGGTAGACTGGTCCAACTGCCGGGTTCGGGAAAGATCGGCCGAACGGCGCTGTTATAAGTGTGTGGAGTTCGGGCATATAGCGGCCCAATGCAAGAGCGGAGTAGATCGCAGCGCCTGTTGTCTAAAGTGCGGCAAACCGGGGGATAAGGTAGCAAACTGCTCGCAAGAAGCAAACTGTTTTCTATGCGTTGGCGCTAGGAAGACAGCGGTTAACCACATAGCAGGTAGCAGGAAATGCCCTATGAGCAAAAAACCGTCAGAAAAGTGAAGATCCTGCAAGTCAACATCAACCACTGCGAAGCCGCGCATGATCTACTAAAGCAGACTGTGCGGGAAATCCAAGCCGATGTGGCGATTATCAGCGAGCCGTACAAAAAGACTCCCGGGCCGGACTACGTACTGGATACTACGACGATTGGGTCATCCCGGCCACAGCACTTGAGAGCCAGTTCGATTTTCATTCGAACTACGGTGAACGAGGTTGCAATCTACAGCTGCTACATGCCACCACGCCTCTCTCTCCAGGAGTTCGCGGCAGTTCTGGATGAACTGGTGGACGACGCAAAAGGAAGGCGAAACGTTATCATTGACGTAGCTCTACTAAATTCCAGATCGGAGCACACATTTAGCAGAGCAGGAGCCGGCTCCGTTGTGGACCTTACATTCATCAGCAGCTCACTTTTCTCGCAAGCCCGCTGGCGCCTCAGTGAAGAGGTCGCTCAAATATCGAGCTTAGGAGGCTGGAGTACGCCGAGAGCCGCAGGACTCTAAAAAGGCTCAGTAAGCAATCCAAGAAGAAGTGCTTCCTGGAACTTTGCGACTCAGCTAAGCAGGACCCGTGGGGTTCAGCCTACAAAGTTGTAGTCAAAAAGATGGGCCAGGTAAAGCCCCTAGGCGCCGGAGTAGCTTCCCACATGAAGACGATCGTAGAGCACCTATTTCCAACAGTAACCTCAATTCCTCAGCGCGCGTACGCAGAACCTGCAGACACATCACCGATCAGAATCCATCCGGATGAAATCAAGAAAGTTGGCAGGGATATGCCCTCAGGGAAAGCACCGGGTCCGGGCGGAATCCAACGAGATGGCGGGGAGGCAGCAAGGAGGACTGCCTAGTTGTGACCCTGGACATCAAAAACGCCTTCAATTCGCCACGCTGCACACTGGGGCAGAATCCCAAAAAGATGCCAAAAATTGAGAAAAAAAGTGATTGCAGTATTCTTTTATTATATTGTATAACTAGTACGATAAGTTAGGTACCTTTCGACAGTGTTAATAACCAAACAAAAGATATTGTTGGTTATTGCCAGTGTTGGGGTGTATCTAGGTACTTGTACCTAGGTATGTACCTAGGTAATTTTTTTCGGTATCTTTTACCTTACCTAGGTAAAAAAGTATTTGGCTACCTTTTACCTTACCTAGGTACGAATTTTCGCTTACCTTAAGTTTTAGCTATGTAAGGTATTTAGGTACTTCCATACGTGTATGTAAATATTGTGCATATTAGAAATAGCTCTGCTTCACAGCAATGCAATCGAAAACTTAGAAATATGATAGTTCAACCACTTACTCACAGAGGTCTTTATGGTAAGAATGCAAAAATATTTTCCGTTGGAATTTGGTATAATGCTAAATTAGCAATTAGTTGCTACCTAAACAGTGCACTTTTATCGATGACATCGGTTCCTAGAAAACGCCACAAAAAATCTTAAAATGAACAAAGAAGACGCAGAGAAAAAGGAGCTACCATTAATTTTAATGGTACTTTCTTTTTACCGGACGGGAAGTGCAAACTGTGTGTGAACAAAGCTATCAAATTTGATGAAAAGTCAACCGGCAACTTGCATAAACATCTGAAAGTAAGTGAACTGTGAAGTGAATTGATAAATTAATTTTCGCGCGAAAAAATGCATGTGCGTAGACATGCACATGTGCTTTTAAACATACATATGTGCTTATTCATAAATTTATGTGGTGCAGTCATCAATGTGAATATGACTATATGTATGTATTTATGTATAGATTGTGCCTATTTCATTAACACATTTAAACAATCATAGCTTGAAGCAGCACGATTCCCGCAATTTTATTTTAATGCACCTTCGAATTTTTTGAGTATGTGAACAAGCACATGTTTATGTATGCATCATATATGTATGAATATGTGCTTATTGGAGTGCATGTTTAAATGTAAATGTGCATATCTATGCACATGCATTTTTTCGCGCGAAAATTATTTTCCATAAGTTTAAATAATCTAAAAGTGCATTTTAATAAGAAATTGGCGGATACATAAATACATACATATGGTCATAATTTTATGGACATTGATTCTTTAACAATTACCAATATTTTTAAGCGGTTTTATTTTCCACCAAAAAATGTAAAACTATTTTTTTATTAAACCACATTTTTATAAATATATGTATGACTAAGCACATAATAATGTTTAAATTAAACAAGTATAATGAAGACATTAAAACATTATAAAACTTTTTTTCAGAGGGTTCACCCGAAAAGTTATTCTTCGTATGAAGCTTTGAAAGCGAAAAATTCAAAAATAGAAGTGAAAATTTCCGGTGAGGCAAAAGATCGAAAATCCTGCTTCAGTACTCTTAACTCAGTCCAGGTAAACATAAAAAGATTTAAGTATAACTTAATTTAATTTAATATATTTTAACTATTGCAGGTAAATAATGAAATTTGTGACTACATTGTAACGGAAATGTTACCACTATGTCTTTGTATCTCTGAAAAAGAAACAAATAATATATATATTTATAGATCTGACGATCTCAAAAAAAGAAACCAATGTGACTTATGTTTATATCTTTGTATCTCAGAAAAAGAAACATAATATAAATTTCAAATTTAAAAATTTTTAAGTTGTATTTTTTACCTTTACCTAGGTACAGAAAAAATTGCATACCTTTTTCCTTACCTAGGTACAAATATATTTAATACCTAGTTAAAAAAATGGTACCTGTCTCAACACTGGTTATTACAGTGAAGTGAACTGCGTCGTGCTGCCCGCGCTATTCGCTAAGAGTGATTTACTTGCAAGCTCAAATTAGTCTTACAACAAAATAATTTTTTTGTTTGTTTATAGAGCAATGGAATCGCCATCCCCAGGTATGTAAATATGTTTCAGTAATGGTTTTTTATTGAAATTTTAAATAGTTTTCGATATTCGAGATAAAGTTAGTGGTGAAGTGAAATCATAGGAAAATTAATAAACAATAGATATTTTGTTAGGGTTCTTAACATTTTTAAAGGTTGGTTGTGATCTGAAAATAATCATTGTTGTATAGGCTCATACAAGCAATTTTTGTTTTCTGCTACTTTCTGCTACTTTAGAAATTATAAAGATTTGAAGCAGTGCGCCCGCGTCAATGACGACAGTTCGTTGGATTCGATGCTGCTGGATGCATACTGCATTTAGCATATAAGCTGCCTATAAGAAAATGGCAAGCTCGTGGGGAAAGAGAGAAACAGTTCGTTGCTGAAAACAAAGCTCGAATACAAAAAGAGTTTAAGGAAAAAAGTGGCCTAATTGTCGACAAACGGAAGCCGGCTTTCGGTAATACTAACGATGGAAACACCAGAAATCCAGAGTTATCCGCACAAATTACTAATGTAGACATTGATTTAATTAAAAAACTCCACGTTATATTGTAGCTGTAGTGGGTTGGACATAGATCCTGAAAAGTACAGCACATTTGCACTTGATACTGCCAGATATTTTTTTTCCTTATACCCATGGTCCAACATGCCACCCACAGTACATAAGTATCTGATTCATGGACCTGAAATAATTTCCTTTGCTCTCCTTCCTATCGGACGATTGACAGAAGAATCACAGGAGGCAAGGAACAAGGACTTTAAGCGCTACAAAGAGTACAATTCGAGAAAATGCAGCAGAGAAAAGTCTAACAGTGATATTTTCAATTTTTTTCTACTCAGTTCTGATCCTATAATCAGTAGTAAGCAAAAACCAGCAAAAATAAAAGTAAAAAATATTCCTAGAGAAGCACTGTTTCTTCTGAAAGCTTCAGCCCTACACAAGTCAGATGATAACGAAGGGAATGATGACAATAATAATGATGAAGATGATAATGAAGAAGATGATAATGTTGAGATGTATTTTTAATAATAAGTAGGTATATATTCTTCATAATGAATTCAAAATGTTGAAAATAAGTATTTTGTACAAAATGCATCGATGCGATGCGCCTCTTTTTATAATAAAAATATTCTTCTTTACAAAAATTGTTCTTTTTTTTTGTAATGGGTATCTTTATCACAACATTTCATTCATTTTGAGAGAGAAATTACCGCCATTAAATTAATTTTAACTTAATCCGTTCAATTCTAGAAAGATAAGTCCGCCATATTAGGTCCACCATTTTTAATTTTTGACATTTGACTTCAGATTCGCAATCAGTGGCCCAAAAAACGTATGGATACCGAATTTCATCTAAATCGAAGTAAGCATTGATTTTTTGGCATCTTTTCAGGCTTCTGCCCCACTGTGCGCTGGGACATTACCCTGGAAGCACTCCACCAACTTGGCGTACCGGAGAGCTTAGTAGGCATTGTGCAGTCCTACTTTAGCGATCGCACCCTACTCTATGAAACAAATAGAGGGGTGATGGAACACAAGATCACCTGTGGAGTTCCCCAAGGGTCTGTACTGGGACCGCTGCTCTGGAACGCCATGTATGACAGCGTCTTAAGGCTGGCGTTACCAGGAAGATCGAAGGTGATAGGCTTTGCGGACGATATAGCCATCATTATTGTGGCCAAAACACTGCAAGACGCAGAGCGTCTTGGAAACGATGCAGTGGCAACCATCGAGGAGTGGCTCTTAGCGGTAGGGCTCAATATAGCGCACCACAAAACTGAGGCAGTGCTCATATCCAGCCGTAAGGAAGTAAAGACAGCGAAAATTCAAGTCGGAGGCTGCACGATAACATCAACCAGAGCTGTACGGGCTGGGAGTCATGATAGACACAAGACTGTCCTTCAGGGAACACTTCGCGAAAGCAAACAAAAAGGCCGCAAACGTCGCTAGAGCACTATCAAGAATAATGCTGAACACAAGGGGTCCAAAACAAGGGCGCAGACTACTCCTTCAATCGGTTACTCGGTCGACAATGTTGTATGCCGCCCCAATATGGGCCGACGCAGTCGAAACGCAGTCGTACAGGAAGGATCTCAAATCTACCTATAGACTCTGTGCTCTGAGAGTCTGTTCCGGGTTCCGCACAGTATCCGATGACGCAGCTCTAGTCATCTCGGGAATGATCCCCATCGATTTTTTTGGCAGTCGAGGCTAAGGAGATCCACGAGGATATCGCCAATCTGGGAAGGCAGTGCACTCCCTCACAGAGGCGGGAAATTAAGGCGAAAGCAAGAGGAAAAAGCCTAGATGCGTGGCAAACTCGTTGGCAGCAATCAACCAAGGGACGCTGGACCCATCGAGTTATACCAGACATCAAAAAGTGGATGCAAAGACCAAAAGGAGAGGTAAACTTCTGGCTGACCCAGATACTCAGCGGGCATGGTTGCTTTAGGAGCTACCTAACCAGGTTTGGCCACGACGATGACCCTAGCTGCCCGCAATGCGGTGTTGAGGAAACGGCGGAGCACATCATCTTCACCTGTCTACGGTTTGACCGTGACAGGGATGAATTCATGGGCGAGACCAGAGACGCGACAGCGCTGGGAGACCGTATGATCTCGGACGAGGTGTTCTTGGGCCAAATGAGTAACTTCGCTGCGGTAGCAATGAAAGCTCTACGGACCCTAGAGAGGCAGCGCGACCGAGTGCGACGACGGACTTCAAGCTGAATACCGCCACAGAGCAAATCCTGATCCTGCGAAGCAAAGCCACGAGGTAGTACCGCAGGGTTATAAGGAATAAAACAACTCACAGCTATATCTATTTACCCTACTTTATCTCTATTACCTCTCCCCTTATATTTGTAAATACCATATTCTGACAATAAAACCAACTGATAAAAAAAAAAAAAATTAGGTGCGTAGGAGGCGTGTACACGGAGGGCACCGTTACTTTTAAACGTTACACGGGCTCAGAGCGGAGAGCGAGTCCCGTTACCGGTTCACGTCTCCGCGAATAACGGAACCGAGGATACGCGGAAGAACCGAGGTTTCGTCAGCGACGGCGCTGCACTGTTCAGGTCTTTCCAAAAAGATCATCAACATGAGCGCACGCAGCAGTAGCACTCAGCAACAAGTGCAGCACGAGGTGAGGGAGGAGCGCGCCAGGGAACAGCCAGTGACGAAGTGGAGACGGGACTCCGATTTCGTCCTCCAGCTTCTGGCGTCCCCACTGGTGTCGCGATCCCAGTCACCGGTCAGCGAGGCTGACGAGGAGTCCACCGGTGAAATCTCGGACGTGGAGTTGCCGTCCGAGGAGGAGGATGACGCGAGTGAGGAGGACGAGGGACGGAGACTGTCAGTCCCAAGGTGTCCTCGGACGAGGACGACGCGGCGTGGCGAGCTGCGTGGGACCGGATGATCTTCCACCGGTTAAGAAGGGCGACGGCAGGGCTCGGAAGGATCTGCCTAGGGCAGATACCACCGTCGGGCAAGCCCAAGGAGTGGGCTCGCATCTTGGTGGCGCGGGCGGTAACTGTCCGCCAATACGAGGTCCGGCGGGTGGCGAGGAGGGCAGCAGTCGCCGCGTGGCAGCAGAGGCTGAGGGACGCCGAGGCAGAGGAGGCCGCACTCTGGGAGCCGCCATCATCAGCAGACAGTCACGTGGACGTGGCCCGCGCCCGACGAGGCAGCGGAGGAGGCCCGGATGCGGGAGGCTATCGAGTGGCAGCGCCCACCGCCGATGCACCCGCGCGAACCAAAAACCAAGTCGGCGAAACGCGTTGCGGAGACGGCCGACCGCGAGGAGCTGAAGACGACCGAGGAGGAGGTTCTGGAGAAGGGGCCGTGGGAGTTGCCATCACCGCCGGAGACGTCGCGGGACGTCTAATGAATTCAAAATGTTGAAAATAAGTATTTTGTACAAAATGCATCGATGCGATGCGCCTCTTTTTATAATAAAAATATTCTTCTTTACAAAAATTGTTCTTTTTTCTTGTAATGGGTATCTTTATCACAACATTTCATTCATTTTGAAAGAGAAATTACCGCCATTAAATTAATTTTAACTTAATCCGTTCAATTCTAGAAAGATAAGTCCGCCATATTAGGTCCACCAGGGAACACCTCGCGAAAGCAAACATAAAGGCCGCAAACGTCGCTAGAGCACTATCAAGAATAATGCTGAACACAAGGGGTCCAAAACAAGGGCGCAGACTACTCCTTCAATCGGTTACTCGGTCGACAATGTTGTATGCCGCCCCAATATGGGCCGACGCAGTCGAAACGCAGTCATACAGGAAGGATCTCAAATCTACCTATAGACTCTGTGCTCTGAGAGTCTGTTCCGGGTTCCGCACAGTATCCGATGACGCAGCTCTAGTCATCTCGGGAATGATCCCCATCGATTTTTTTGGCAGTCGAGGCTAAGGAGATCCACGAGGATATCGCCAATCTGGGAAGGCAGTGCACTCCCTCACAGAGGCGGGAAATTAAGGCGAAGGCAAGAGGAAAAAGCCTAGATGCGTAGCAAACTCATTGGCAGCATTCAAACAAGGGACGCTGGACCCATCGAGTTATACCAGACATCAAAAAGTGGATGCAAAGACCAAAAGGAGAGGTAAACTTCTGGCTGACCCAGATACTCAGCGGGCATGGTTGCTTTAGGAGCTACCTAACCAGGTTTGGCCACGACGATGACCCTAGCTGCCCGCAATGCGGTGTTGAGGAAACGGCGGAGCACATCATCTTCACCTG